TAAATGCAGTTGTACAAGCTGACACTTTTTCAGAAATGAAAAAAGTGTCAGCTTTTCTGAACCTCTATGTGCTATGTTAGATTAGATTGCTAAGAGAATTAAGCTACTTGGTGTTTAAATCAACCTTTTCTGATATCCAAAATTCTACCCGTGTGGTTTTCAGTTAAGTCGAGGAGAAACTGTCAGGAGTGTAACCAAAGGAGGGTTCAAATGGAGGGCAGCATTGCTCAGCCTGCTGCGGTAGCTATTTAATGACATTTGACCCGCTTACCTTTCAGTGATATGATGAAAAAAATCAATGTTTGGTCGACTGAGCCAGATCTTTGGTGCAAAGTAATTTCATGTTCCTGCATGATGCTGAAGAAATGTCTGAAGGGGAAAAAATCCTCACTTCTAGATGTTGGTAGTATCTGTAAACGTTCTCACTCACACACAGATTAGGAAAGCATTCCCAGCCAGAGCTCTTCTTCACGACGATGAGGTTAATTAGGCCGGGCGTCATCCACATATTTGACTAATCTGCCAAGGGTCTACATTCCTAGGCAGCAACCTTCCTCCATTATCTAATCTCAAATTGCCTACAGAGTCTACTGGATCTCTGCTGGATGGGTCCATGCTTACACGGAAAACAATGGAGAGGCCACAGGGTATCAAATTGTGATTGGTTTTAGAGGTGGGACATGGAAATAGCAGCTGCTATGATAAGAAACATGGCTTAATTAGGAAGTGATTCACCATGAAATTGTTAGTCTGCATTTATGTGTGGGACATAATTATCTTTACTTTTATACCATTTTGTTTTTTTGGGGAAAGCTGTTGCTGCAGAGGAGAAAAAATTCCTTTTGCTGTGTCACAGGTTTCAACAGACAATGTAGAAACACCTCACTGAGGCCCACAGTAACTATTTATACTGGAATGGGAGAAATATTGCATGAGGCCTCTTGCAGTTTTTCTGTTAGACTTGGATATTTGAAGACAAAGACATGTCAACAGTTGAATGGTTTCTCATCTCAAAACCTGCAAACAAAAACCACAAACAGTACTGGGAGAGAGCATTGTTTTCTCAGGAATGTCTCTCTCTTTTTTAACTTTTATTTATTTATTTTTTGTATGTCTTGAGTTTTGCATGTTGTCTTGTGGGGTTATTGAGTTGGGAGAATAGAGAATGGCCAGGGTGTCTTGTAACTCCTCCAAAGGCAGGATTAAAACCTACAGGCTGCAGAATAACCAACAAACTGCTTTTTCCTCTTTGGGAAAGAGGAAAGAAGTTTATCTTATCAATCATGGCATTGTTTGAGAAAATAAGTGGTAATTGGTCTTTTATGTAAACTACTAATGTTTTCCCTTGACTAAAAAACGCAATACTGTTGTTTAGTAATGCTGAAGGCATTTCAAATGATAGCATAACTAAATATATATTTTTAAATGTTTCTGTGCTTCCTGATAATTTGATGAAGCATTAATAGGCTATTAGAAATAAAGGACTTATTACAACAAGAAATATTAACAATGGGCATTTTGGATGCCTGTCATTACACAAACATGGTCATTCGATTTCTCACTGAATTAGTTTTTAGGTAAGCTGTCCAAGCTGTAATTAGGTGAGACTTTGGGTACATCCTGGAAAGATTGAGAAAAACAACCACACAGTAAACCTTTAACTCTGAGGTGATGGTGCCAACCACCACACCACCATGCAGCACTACAGGCGGATTCATTTAGCTGCAGGACGGAAAAGTCACTAACTGTGAGAGGGGAACGCCAACAGCATTCTCCACCCAGTTATATAAAATATTAATGATCTGTTGTAAAAGCAAAGTAATGACCAAAAAGAGACGAAATAATAATTTCATATGGCGCAGCTGAGCTTTAAGCCACTATGTCATGCCAAACACATGTGTAGGAACAAAACTCCATCATGGAATGGTTTGTAAACACAACACCTCAACACCTCTGGCCTTAAGTGAGACTTACACACAGCTTGCAAAATGGCCCCACTAGTTTGTTTGTGCAGCAGCTCGACGTAAGACTGTGGTGTTTATGTATTTAAAAGGTGTTTTGGTGAGTGTGTGTGTAGAGTTTTTTGCTGCAGGATTTCAATGAATCGAAGCATTCGCCGGTTGTCGACGGTGATGCCATTGGTGAATATGTGCGTGGGTGTTCAAGGCCAGGTTTGTTCACTGAACAGCTGTCTGGTATACATGTGGAACAGTTAGTTACAAAGTACATTAAAAAGCAAGTACATAGTTACTGGAGTACAAGTTTACAAGAGGTTGCTAATTATGCAAAAACTTACAAAAAATATACATATGGTGTATTCTTTTGAATTTGGGAGCTGTTTACATCTACTTTAAATGTCTTTATTAAAAAAATCTAAGGCGAAGATACTTCCTCTGTTATAGGAAGCATATGTTTAGCTTCCAGTTCAGTACAGTGTATTCTTTTTTTCGAAAAACAAACAATTCTACACATTAGAATTGAACTGGTTTCCAGTCCTTCATGAAAGGATGATTTTTTCACAGAATTGAACAAATAATCTTTGTGGTTTGGCATTGCGATTAGTTGGAATGATTGAGAGATCTTTGGCAAATGAATGCATCAATCTGTAGCCTTGCCTTGGTGTCAAATGGATGCACAGATTTGCATTGTGTAACAGTTCTTTGTCAGATTCTGAGCTCCTCTGCTGCTGTCTGTAATAGGTAATATAATCACTTCAAGAACTTACTTAATTCAGCTTTTCTGCCCAGAAGCTGCTCAGACTGGAATGTAGCTAATTAGAGCTTTGCTCTGACGTGCTTGGAGGAGTTCATGTGAAAAAGACGGGTCATGTAATTATATCCCCGGGAAAACCCTAGTGTGTTATAGGGTGTGTATACTGCAACGTCTGAGTTACTGGCGATCTGTACAAGATTCTGTAATGTGGATTTTCTATTTTCATGTACAGTCTTTATGAATGTAAGACTTTTGTCTGTTTGCTTGTATAATTAAACATAGACGATGTCCAAATGAGAAATATATACATTTCAGCTTGATTTACTAATATAATCTGGCAAAATCTTTCAGCAAAGATTTAGAACAGAAAATTAAGAATAAGAAAAAAAAAACGATATAAAAAAAGCTTTCTCATAAACTGGAAAATCAACAAAACAAAAATGAACAAAAAAACTGAGAAATTCTGGCATCTGAAGGTTATGTCTAAGGTGTGAAATCTGCACTTGATGTTTGTATGTGAATACAGTCTTCAGTGCTCTCAGGCCTTACAAAAATTTACCATTATCACCCAAGTTTTTGGTTTCACCCTTTTATCGTCCCATTGTTGTGAAGTACAGGGGTTGGACAATGAAACTGAAACGCCTCTCATTTTTAGTGTGGGAGGTTTCATGGCTAAATTGGACCACCCTGGTGGCCAATCTTCATTAATTGCACATTGAGCCAATAAGAGCAGACTGTGAAGGTCCAGTTAGCAGGGTAAAAGCACAGTTTTGCTCAAAATATTGCAAAGCACACAGCATTATGGGTGACATACCAGAGTTCAAAAGAGGACCAATTGTTGGTGCACGTCTTGCGGGCGCATCTGTGACCAAGACAGCAAGTTTTTGTGATGTATCAAGAGCCACGGTATCCAGGGTAATGTCAGCATACCACCAAGAAGGACGAACCACATCCAACAGGATTAACTGTGGACGCAAGAGGAAGCTGTCTGAAAGGGATGTTCGGGTGCTAACCCGGATTGTATCCAAAAAACATAAAACCACGGCTGCCCGAATCACAGAAGAATTAAATGTGCACCTCAACTCTCCTGTTTCCGCCAAAACTGTCCATCGAGAGCTCCACAGGGTCGGTATACACGGCCGGGCTGCTATAGCCAAACCTTTGGTCACTCTTGCCAGTGCAAAACGTCGGTTTCAATGATGCAAGGAGCGCAATTCTTGGGATGTGGACAATGTGAAACATTTATTGTTCTCTGATGAGTCCGCCTTTTCTGTTTTCCCCACATTCGGGAGAGTTACGGTGTGGAGAAGCCCCAAAGAAGCGTACAAACCAGACTGTCGCATGCCCAGAGTGAAGCATGGGGGTGGATCAGTGATGGTTTGGGCTGCCATATCATGGCATTCCCTTGGCCCCATACTCGTGCTAGATGGGCATGTCACTGCCAAGGACTACCGAACCATTCTGGAGGACCATGTGCATCCAATGGTTCAAACATTGTATCCTGAAGGAGGTGCCGTTGTATCAGGATGACAATGCACCAATACACACAGCAAGACTGGTGAAAAATTGGTTTGATGAACATGAAAGTGATGTTGAACATCTCCCATGGCCTGCACAGTCACCAGATCTCAATATTATTGAGCCACTTTGGGGTGTTTTGGAGGAGCGAGTCAGGAAACATTTTCCTCCACCAGCATCACGTTGTGACCTGGCCACTATCCTGCAAGAAGAATGGCTTAAAATCCCTCTGACCACTGTGCAGGACTTGTATATGTCATTCCCAAGATGAATTAACGCTGTATTGGCCGCAAAAGGAGGCCCTACACCATACTAATAAAGTATTGTGGTCCAAAACCAGGTGTTTCAGTTTCATTGTCCAACCCCTGTATATTTAAGATATACCTCATCTATATGAGATTGTATCTATTTATTCATTTAAAAAAAATTCCGTGGCACACAATTGGATGGAAAACCCGGGACAGGTACATGGAAAAGTGTAGTCCGGATATGAATTTGAAAAATGATCAGAAAATCTGTATTTTATACTGGTAGCAAATTAAACCTGTTTTGTAAAGTAAAAAAGGAATTATATATATATAGGTGTGTGTATAATAAGATTATCATACAGCTCTGTTAACAACACATTAGTTGAAATGGTACAGGAATTTTTTTTAATGAATGTCATAATGGACCTAATTTACAAGAAATTAGACCTAATTTTGAGTGAAAACATCAGGAATACTATTACTGTCATAAGAAATTAATTCTGATGTATTTTTTTCCTACAGCATGTGGAAGGGCCTGAATGTGAACTGCACTGACAGCTCAGGATACACACCTTTACACCATGCTTCCCTGAATGGACACAGGTAAGGCAGCAAACTGGTGTTTTCTCTTTTTTTCTAAAATAAGTTGACCTTTAACCTTAAACTTTTTATGGCATTGTACAAAATACTTAGAGGAAGTTTCTTTGTGTTTGCTCTCTTACTAGGTCAGCCCCATTAGTCATTATAGTCAGTATTTGGCGGTAAATATAATTTATTTTGTGATATAATTTACTGCAGTCATCACTATGAAGAACCTAGTTTACTTTGTCTAAGCCAGTCACTGAGAAGCCAGACCATTCCTTGAGTGAGTTTTAAATTCAGGTAGAATTGATAAATGAAATAACACACTCAGAGAATGAAGGGAAATCTCAGATCGCATTAAAATAGCTTTTTGCTCAAATCTAACAAAAGAAACAAAAGCACAGGTCAAACTTAATATTTTCTGTTAAATAACGTCTATGCATGTACATAAATCTGTGTTCAGCCCCCTTTCTTCACTTGGCCCTACTGAGAAATCTGTGATACAGTTGGGATTACCTTCAAGCCTGGTTGCTATTGCAGCTTGGCGGAACTGAAGGATTAGTACTCTGTTTTGGGGGCAATTATGTGGATTTCCTTCTAATAGATCAACTGTGGAAGGAGGGGAGGAGTGATGGAAGACAAAATACAACATCGGAGTGGAAATTAGGCCATGAACAAAAAGCTGCAGAGGAGTGATTTAGGTGGGAAAGTGAAAAAAGAACACATTATTAAGATACTGAGGGAACGAAGTTGGTCTTGAGGCAGAGCTGTTGTCAGAGATTAGCTATTCTAGCTAGGTGTATCTTGTTTAATTCATTTGCTTTTCCAAAGATTATTTTTGAATTATGAGATCAGAGTAGTACATTTTCTCATTTAAACTCTTGGGTCATCACACGTGGCTCTGCTGTTTAAATATCACCTAAACTTGACTGTCAGGATACAAGAACATGTTGAAATGAACCAAGCAGCTCATTAAGCTTTTCAGTGCTGATCCTGAGAGAAGTTTTGCCCTGTCTCCCCTGTTTCTCCCCCTGACATTTTGAATGCAAATGAAGCTCTTCACCTTTACTCTTTAGACAACGCTGACAACTGCAGCTGCAGCAGCCTCTAGTATAGAACAGTTCCACTGATGTTACCACCTCATGCTCAATCTAAGGTTGAGATTTGTTTTTTTTAATAATTTGTTCAGTAGTTATTTGATTCTTTGGGCAGATATTGTCATTTTGTTCTTATTCTTCATTTCTAGTTTACAGATGAAGCCTTTGTTTCCTGCAGGGGGAGATTGTATAATCTTTCACTTAAAGGCTTCTATAAATACATTGAATTCCAAATAATTTTGAATTAGGTTTCTGTTGACTAATGCAGAATTCAGACGCAATGTGACATATGTTATGAGTATTAATTTTGTTTCCAAAATGTTCAACTGAAGCCAAAGTGCCTCCCAGAGGCAATTATCTTAATGCAGATTGTGGTTGTCAGATCTTTTGGACTTCTCTCAATATGTAGACTTTCTGGGTGTTTCACATACGTCCCACCAGGTTCATCTTTCAAATCAACTCTGCCAACATAACCTGAAAGATTATAGATGTATAACCAGCAAAAAGTTAGACTACAACATATCGCTGATTGAAGTTTGCTTTACATTAGGGGCATACGTGTCTTTTTCTTTTTTTTTTCTTTAGCAAATTCAGAAAACTGCAGTCAAAGAGCTTAGAGATGAGATCAAAGTCGCATGGACAGTCGCCAATGAATAAAGATGAAAACAAAAGAGATAAGCATTGCTAATATAAAGCGTGTACTCTAAGAAAAACAGAGGAACAATAATTCACCACGTCTTTATATTGTTGGATTGTAATGATATAATATTGCATATTGTGTTTTTAATGGATTTTTTCCCTGGATTTTTTTGAACCACCAATCTGAAAATGGCAGGAATAAAAGCGTCATGGAACATTGTTGTTTAAAATAGAAAATACAGATATGTGAAGTCAGAGGAAGTTATAGGTTTTCCCACTTCCTCCTTTAGTGTCCTGTAAACGTTCATTACAATGTTACTGTGAAGAAGCCACTGTGTAAGTTGCCTTCTTGTAAATTTGATTTGGTTTTATGTTTACATATTTTTCTTAAAAACATCTAGAAATAAAAGATTTGATTCCTTTATTCTTTTTTGGAATAAAATTGTGGGGTAAATGTACTGCAGAGCTTTATGTATTAACGTTACCACGTACCATACCATTGACGCATGGCTCTTTTGTTCTTTTCTTAATTGATCATTTGATCGGTATTTGCTTGTCTCCATTTTCTTTCTTTAGGGATGTGGTACTGAAACTTCTTCAGTTTGAGGCATCAACAAATGTGGCTGACAGCAAGGGCTGTTTCCCTCTCCACCTGGCCGCTTGGAGGGGAGACGTGGACATTGTCCGTATCCTTATCCACCACGGCCCCTCCCACTGCCGTGTCAACCAACAGGTAAACACAACATTTCCATCTTGTTTTCTGAAAACCTTCTGGATTTGAGTAGAGCCCCATTAGCTCTTTACTCAATCCAACACAGGTGACAGATTGTTAATACCGAACAGTTAAAGAGCAGCTGGGTCAAATCAACTATTGGTAGAATTGTCCCTGTTTAAGAGTGAGTCTTTAAGGAGAAACGAGGTCTTGGCTCACTGTGACTCATGGTTCAGATAATTGCAGGAGAATTATTTTTGTAGTTCTGGCAGTTCTTCCTCTGGCTGCTCACCTTTTTTCCTGGAGCACACAGCATATTCAACATATTCAAAAGAGCGTCCATAACCATAAACGACTGGACTGCCTCGGGTCAAACCGGTCCTTTTGTTGCTGAGACTGCAGCCTATTTTCCCTCAATGGACCACCATACCACAGACCAATTTTGAAATTGTAGCTCAGCTAATCTTCTCGAACAAGACGCTCATTTCTACTTCAAGTTCCTGTTCTTTGCGTAAAATGATGCGGCTGTAGGTTGTGTTCTAGTGGCTTCTGGCCGACAGTGCAGATTCCTTACAGCAGCCTGTGATCTCGGTCTGACAGGCTGATGAGTATTTCAACGCTGGGAGCATTCAGCCTGCCACTGCTGTCATTTTTCATTTGCAAAAATGACCCTTTTCTTTTTTCTCCGTACATCTTTGCTCACAGCTTATTTATGATATCATGGCTCGGCATTCACTGCATTTGAAAATGAGCAAAGATCACACGGGAAGTCAAATAAATCCAAATTCTTAGCTAAACTGGAAATTAAATTAGTATTCGTACTGGTGGTACACAGTAGCAATGAACCAAGATTGTTGGAGAGTTAATTTGTCTGACTAATAAGCACATATGTGCTGTCATAGTCAGCCAGATCGTTTTCCCTTGAGAGCTGTTAGTCCAGTTGTGTGCCCTGATAAATGTTCTCCCTGGCCCCTAAAATTAGGAGGTTTTTAAGCCAGTAAACATGGGTCATTTTCTTTTTTACACTTTCAATGATTTGCTGAATGAGTGGACTGCTGTTCACAGGACCCAATTTGTGCAGGAGCTGCTGATGTGGACGTTTTTGCACAAAGAGTCTGACCTCCAGGCTGGTGCATTTGTGCTTTGTACCCGCTACCCTCCCTCATACAAGGAGAGCAGTACAGAAAGCTTGTTACCCCAATATATCGAGCTGTCATAAGTTCTACCCCGGACCCTCAGTAGCTGCTTGGACTTATGATGTGTTGAATGTGACAAAGACAGAAAATCTTCTAAAAAAATGGCTGCATTAAATTCTCATGAAGCAAGACAAGGTTATTAGAAAATAATAAAGCCTTTTCATGGTTCCTCAGTTCATGGTAAAATTAAACAGAGGCTGTAAAGGAGAATGGTGGGAGGGCTGGGATGATGGCAAGGCAAGATGAATAAGTCCCTGTTTGATTGCAATGAATTTTCAGGAAGATTTAACATGCTCAGGAGAAGTTTTACACTGTGCAGCAACACCTGCAAAAATAAACGTGTAGAAAAAAATCTGCAGAATTGTATGAAACAACACTGGAAATGTGTTTGGAAATGTTTCTCTGACAGAGGAGTGATTCAATAAAAATCCAGCAAATGCTCAAAAGACTGCAAAGAAAAAAGCAAAAAAATGTTTTTGCTCAAGTCTTCAAAGATTGTCAGTTGAAAAAAAGCTTTTCGCAGGATGGATGAATGGAAATTGAGAAAAAAACAAAAAGATCCACAACTAATCACATGTTTTCGAGCACACACATTTCTTTTTGTTTGCTCGTTGATTTTTTGTTTGCGTGTTTGCTCAGTTGTCTCCTTTGTTTATATGTGTTTCTATAGTGAGGTTGGTGGTGTTCTCAATTTGCAGGCATAAATCAGAGGGAGAGATTTATGAAGCATGTGTGTGTTTACGAGGCCTAAGCTCCATATTTCCCCACTGTCTGTCATGTGTACAGCCATAGGCAAACTGCACATGCATTAGTTAGGGTGATATATGCTCTCACACACACACACACACACACACACACACACACACACACACAC